GCCCCCAACATACTAATGCACTTCCCTCCCTTCTCCCACAGGGGCAGGGCAGGGGGAGCCCACTCCTGCTCCTTACCCTTCCCACTGCTCCTTACCCTCTGTAACTAACATGCAGAGGAGTGTAGGATGAAGTTAGAGACTGTGGAGCCACACTTATCGGTTTGGATTCTGACTCTGACACTTTTAGCTTTGGTGACCTTAACCAAGTCTGTTCTGTGCCACTCTTACCTCATGAAAATTGGGGTGCCGATAAGACCTACCTTGGGGAGTTGCCGTATTAAATTATTCAACACACAGTAAGCATTCAGAGCAGTGTCTGGCACATAGAACATGCACAGCCTTGCTGCCATTAGTGTAATTAGGACCATTGTGTGGGAGGCCAGCCCACCGATCCTTGCCTGGGCCTGTGAGTTCAGCAGGGCCCTGTAACATACCTGAAGTTGGAAGGACGGGAAGAGAAAACGTTGCCAGGCCTCTTTTTCTACCTATGTATCGTGGTCATTCGTTAAGCACCTGCTTATGTACTGGATTAGTGGTTCTCAGAGTTGGAACCCCAGCTCTGCAGCACCAGCCTTTGCCTTCCCCAGATGTTCTGAAGGTGGGGCCAAGCAGTCTCTGTTTTAAAAAACCAAATGGATGCTTCTGGCGTGCTAGTGTAAGAACCAGTGCCCCAGGTGTAAAAACATAGCCACTCTGCTGGGCACGGGGAATGTGAACTTGAGTAAGACCCTGTCCCTGGCTTTCAGGGAGCACACAGACCCCTGGGACAGACAGACTACAAACAAGAGCAACCCAGGGTGCTGAGAGGTCCAGTGGACACACAGAGCCACAAAGGAGGGGGTGGCCACATCTGCATTTTGGGGGGAGGGTTTGGAAAGGATTCCTAAAGAAGAAATGCTTGAACTGAGTCTTAGGAAGAGCCTAGAACTCTTCTGGTTCTCAGTGAGGAGAAGGAGGACATTCATAGGCAGATGAAGGGTGGACCCCCACCCAACACTCAACTTTTAAACTGGAGGGGAAGGGTTTGTGCTCAGTGCAGGGCTGATCCCCGGCACCTAGGGCGTGCCCTGGCTCACAGGCAACACCAGGAACTGCTTGAATGAACACAAAGCTCCTAAATTCCACGTGTTTGATTTTCACTGAATCACTTCTATTCAGCATAAGATATTAAAACAAATCAACAAACCTCCTTGTGAGTTTCTGCTTCACAGCACTATATTCCTGAAAGAAATTAACGGATGACCGGATTGTTTAAGGCACTGTGTCTTGAAGCACACAGGTTGGCAGCAGTAGGTATTATAGGTCACCAATAAAGCTGTGCTACCTCCATAGCTCAGTGAGGCCCAGAGCACTTGCTTGACCAAACAGTCTTTCTGAACCTGCAAGTCTATCCAAGTGCGAATTATGGATGCTTCTCATAAACACACTTGTCCACACGACAGAAGCCACGGCAGGTTCCTCATTAAAGTGTGATGAGCTGAGTACCCCAGACAGCGAGCTTCCTTCTGCTTTAGTTAAGGTCAGCTCCGCATGCAGAACGGCTGGGTCTCCGGCTCTTCCAGGCATGCTCTCAGGAGCCGCCCTGTGCCAGCACTCACTCTTCTTTCTTCTGGATGCCAGGCATGCTTCACAGAGTCAGAAACGTCCCCAAGGGCCCCCTGCGTCTCCACACTGACCCAAGACCCGTCTGGCTGCCAATTCGAAAGCTAGGTGCCAAATTAGAGCCCCACACTGAGGTTCCCTTCCTCTCAGCCACTTCTAAGGGAGCCCTCCTGCGGGATTGCCTCCCAGCATCCCCGCGGACCCAGCCTGGCTTTGTGTAACCTGTTAATGACATCTCTGGCTAGCTTGCTCTGGCCTCTGATCTGACGAGGCCTCTGAGGAGGGCGGCTCTAACCTGTGTTCCTCATCTAGTGCATCTAAGATCATAGGCACCGGAGAGGACAGAGGGACCTGGAGACCATGGCAACCGTCCCTCACCCAGTAGCCCTCTCCACTGTCTCCAAGGAGCAGGAAGCTTCCAAACACTGACCGTGCAAATGATGAATGGAAGTTAGAATACATGGCATTCTTAAAACGGAAGTTGAGATGGATTTTCCTTTACTTCTCTTATGCCAAATTTGATCTTTTAGATCAGGGGTGGGGAACCTTTTTTCTGCCAAGTAACCCTCCAAATTAACTTAGTAATGAAGCCAGAATTTTACTTTTTTCTCCATTTGATTTCTGAGTTTACTGCTGTGCAGGAATACTCTATGGCTAAGCAAACAGTCTTCCCAGTATGGGAGAGCTGTTGCTACGGAGCAGATTTGGCTGAAGGGTGGCTTGAATGTGTTTTAGAAGCATAGCCAATTTCATATCATAAAGCAGCGATTAGAAACCTCAGATTTCACATATTTAAGAAGAGGGAATGGAATGGGACAAGTCTCTCCCAGGGTTAAGACCTGTCAATTTTAGGTCTTCTCCTCTAGAGCAGCATTAAGGATCTAAGTAGGAGGCGGGGATAGCTGAGGGCAGAGAACTCTGCTCACACACTCACACAGACACACACACTCCCACAGAGACACACTCACACAGAGACACACACACACAGATACACTCACACAGAGACACACACAGACACACTCACAGTGAGACACACATTTACACTCATACACACAGAGACACACACACACACAGACACACACCCTTAGACACACATTCACACAGACACACACACACTCATAGACACACACAGAGACACATACTCACATATATAGACACAAATGCATTCACATTCACAGACACACACAGAAATGCACACACTCACAGAGACAGTCACACAGACACACACACACACTCACATCCTTCTTCACATGGCAATCTTCACGACTGTATGCCCTTTGTGTCTAGGTGCACATATGAATTAGTTGTGTTACTAGTGATAAACAGAGGAAAAAATACTATGTAAGTTTTATAATACCACATGATAATATTTTTATATACTACTGTACTTAAGTTTTGTGTTTGTTTAACTTTGGGAAAAATGGATATGGTTTTGAATAAGAGTCTGCCATTTTTTAGCACATCGTGTTTGCCCATTACTTCATTTCTTTGTTCTGCACAAGTTTATTCATCCACAAATGCATTCTCTGTGCCAGTTACTGGGTTAAGCATAGGGATGGCAGAGGAACGATCGCTTGTGATATGGTTATTCATTAAAATACCTTGAAAGTATTGACTTATAAGGTTGAGATAGAAAGAGGAGCAGGGCCATGTAAGATCATCCATGAGCTTCCAGACAAGAATCATCACCTTTTAATAGATAGTTATTATTACCCTGACTACTACTGGCTGTCTCCAAACATTGTAAACCTAAGGATAGATCATTGAGCTGGATGTTTTGAACTCAAAAACTTTGTTCTTTAAAGTGTATTTTTCTGTTCATCTAGTGCTTCAATTTCCTGTAAAATATGTTGTTCTTTATTTCAATCCTTGCCCCAGGGGCATTCTTGGAATTGATATTTGTGAAGAGAATATATTTCTTAAGTACCTTGTGCCTCTAGGACATTGCTGCTCTGAAATAGTCTGAAATTAGATTTTACTACTCCGGCTTTGCATTAATAGAAACCTCTAACAGCCATGTAGCATTTGCTGCCTCAGGAATCCTATCTGCTCCTCACCAGTTCCACATTTCCTGCTTCCCTCTCTTCATTTCGTTAGTGTGTCTCAGTAAGGAGGAAAGGGCTACAATTTATGAGTTAAACCAGTGGCCAGTGGCCAGTGTTGAAGGTAGTGTTGAATGAGTGCCAGCACCAATGGGCAGGACATACATTCTTGGCCTTTTGAATGTATCTAAATTGGGCTGGCGATAGGGTGCAGAACTACTCCAGGTTGGAGAAAGGTTTCAGTTCACACACAGAATCTAATCTCACATTTCATCCTGAGCTACTTACCGACTTCATTGATCTAAGGATTTGATTTTAGTTAACATTCTATGCCCTCAGTCATCACCATTTCAATGTATTTTACAAAAATGATTTTTCCAAAAGGTATTTCCAAGTTTAACTAATGTAGGTAACTATGGAGATTGAAGTTTGATCTGCTGGGGGAGGGTGACTTCAAGTTCCAAGGGCCAGGGAACTCATTAGTGATGGTTTGAGAGAATATGATGCAGAAGGGAGTTATGAGAGAGATAAACATCTATGGAACTGGTTAGTATTTTGTCAGGTTTGAAAACCTGAAGGAAGTTTGAAAAGCATCCAAGTTCGTAGGAAGACAGCAGTTTTTGGTGGTTAAGGCTAATGTGAGGGTGCAACTGTGTTTGTAGACAAACTCCATCTTGTGCTGCTGGCTCGAAGCTGAAAATGCAGTAATTAGCAAAGAAAGAGCCAAAAAGTAAGGAAGGGTTAAAAAATAGGAATTATGAACAATGCTAAGACATACACATTTGGGAGAGGTATACTGACATTTTAAGTTGAAAAATAAGTCATGTTCAGGATTTCCCATTTGCTAGACTTTGTGTAAGAAACAAATTAAAGACTCATTGCTTTTGTTTTAAAGGAGTAAGAAAGTTAGAAATTATTTTATTTTCATAACTAAAGACATCACCTTGATAAGAGAGTAAGATATACTTGTTTGTTTTAGGTAGGTGATATGATAATTACATAAACTATGATTATAGGTGAAATATCATGCCATACAATTATAGACACTATGAATAGAGAATTGCTTTGTTTTTCAGAATTGGATTTCATAACAAGCTATCTCAGTTCATTGTAAAACAATATTATTGTTTGTCCTCAAACTTAGTGTCCCAATAAAAATTGTATACTAAACTACTTAGGAGTCTATTTTGTGTTAAATTTTAATTTTTAAAAAATAACTTCACTTGCTCTTTGAATATAGCTACCAAATTTTAGGTGCATTATGAAAGACTTATCTTATTGCATGATTTATCTAACAGCACTGTTTGCTCACTCGTTCCAAGTAACTCTAACCCCTCTTATATTTTTGTTTAACAGCTCGGCTCATCCTCTTCGGTGCCTTTTACATCTATTTTTTCTCAGCTTTCTGTGACGGTCGTGGTTCCTCTCATTATTGGACAGGTAAGGTCTCCAATTCATCTGCTCTTTTTCCTTATAAACCAAATTGTGAATTCTTACAAAATGTCAGGACAATTGAGAAAAAGATAGAGGAAGAGTTAGTTAAATGAAGGTATAAAACTGTGCAACACAAGTTTTATCAATCACCATATTCTCGTTGTTGTTGTTTTTAGTTAGTGACAATATGCTTTACAGATAGCTATAGAAAAGGACACCTGCCCAGAATCTTGATTTTTTTAAACATTTATTATTCCTTCTCTAGAGCTCTGCAGCTAGCTTGAAACATTTAGCAAACCGTAACCTTGTTCTGTGACCTCCGGTAAGGTCTCAGCATTTGGGGCCATTGCTGGGAGCAAGCATCTGTCCTTGGCTGCTCAGAGCCTCCTCCAGCAGCAGGTATCCTATTTGTGATCATGTAATTGGTAAAATAAACATTTAATTCTATAAGCTCTTACATTGGATCCTAGAAAATTTACTTTCCTTTGCCATTCTTATTGAATTGGACAATAAAATAAATTTGTACAAATTAATTAATTTCTTATAACAAGGTTATAATGACCATGTAATTTAATTATAAGATATAGGTTTTAAAACAAGGTTGTTTTTCTACTCACAGGTAGCCACAGTAAAGAACGACAGAATTTAATGTGCTACTAAATGAGTGAGTTTTAGGAAAGAATATATTTGGATGATTAAGGGCATAGACCTGGGTTTAAGAACAAGTAGTTTCTAGATTTAGTTCTACCTCTTATTTGCTGTGTGACCTTTGGCAAATCATTTGATCTCCTTAGCTCCAGATTCACCACTTAATAAATTACATAATAATAATGCCCATCTTAAAAGGTATCCAATGGCCTGGGGATGTGTATAAAGGTTTTGTCATTGAAGAGCCTGACACAGGTAAGTACTCCATAGCATCTGTCATCACAATCACTATCAAATTCCCTACAAATATTACACAGAAGGCAAATCTTTGAAATATTAACTATAAAAAGTCATGTATATACAGACATGCAGTATTTACAAGCTATCTTGGGTTAGGGTCCCTGGGAAACAAACACTGAGACCAATGTTTCCATGTGTGGAAGAACCCTGGGGCTCAACACCTTCAGGAGGATGAAGGAAGGACGGGATGAGGAGGTGAACTATGACTCAATCCTGAGGTGGTTTCAACACATCCCAGGGGTGCCCTGGAGCTGGGAGGACCCCCCAGACTGTCCTGCATACTCCAGAGTGCCTATCTTGATCTCCTGTCCCTCCCACTCCCCATGGGAGGTGTGACCTTGGGTGAATCTGCTCGCTCAGCAACAACTTCCAAAAGAGCTCAACTGAGATCTTGCAGCCAAGCAAGCAGCCCATTCCTGAAAGGAAGGAGCTGGGTGGCTCATCACAGCATCCACCATATAGGCACTGATCTTTTAGTTTTATTTTCATTTTGTACTTAGAAAAGGGACTGAATTTGGGAGAAGAGGGAAGGATTTTAAAGCACTCCCAAGTACAATTTGATTAAATATGATTGATACTTGAACAGTGCTGATCACAGAACAGGAATCTGAATAAATATCATTTCCCCCCTCTACCTCTCTAACTTCTTTGCCACATTTCCTACACTCTGGCCTTCCTGTCTTTTTCTCAATTCCTGCTTCATTTTTCTATTTAAAGTGTCTTTCTACCCACCGTCCCACCCCAGCTCATTGTTCCTTTGACTCTTTATTCATATCTTCTTTGAACCACCTATCTGATTTCCTGATTGTCTTTATTGCAGCACCTCATTTGATTTCCTTCTTGTCCTTTTTCACTACTTCCTTACCATTTGTTTTCCTGTTAACTATTCGTCTCCTTGATTAGACTATAATGAGTATAGGAACCATATTTGTTTTGCTTACCATTACATACCCAGAGCATAGCCCCCCAATACATATATGCTGAATGAAAGAATGCGGGAGGGAGGGGATGAGTGAGAGTTCTATGATCAGTGAGGGAAATGCTGTGTCTTATAGAGACATAACAATACCTACCCGCGCTCCTCAGATCTAGACAGTTTACCCTGTGGATAGTATTAGTTTAAACCCAAACTTCTTTTCTTGGTTCTGAAAAGAATTTCATATACTAGCCAGGGCTCATACATTCTTCTCTTAGTGGATCTTGGAAATATGTCTGTTAATAATAACTGTTCGGCTTAAAACATATGGACAAAGAAAATATCCTTGTCAGTCATTCACCTGTTGTTGTTTTTTTATGCAAATGGCTATATGATTTATATAATTAAGAAGAATTAGCAAAAGAGAATAATTATTTGTTAAGTTTCTTATCCTTTACATGCTCAGTAGTAAAGTATTACAGTAAATTATAAAGTAATAAAAGTAACCAAAGGTAGTGTAAATGGTTCTTTAAAAGTACTCTAGGTATCCAAGTGCCTATATTTACATCTACCGCTCCCTCCTTTATTCCATCCAGGCAGGCAGTGTCCCCATTTCCGCCTCAGAAATACCATGCCTGACATCTTCACATCGACACCTTCATCCTGTCTTGTCTAAATGCACTTCCCAACCTGTCTCTGCTGTGAGCTCCTTCAGGTTCCGACCCAAGGTCGTTGCTGTCTCTGGGGTGGTCCTAAAAACAAATCAGGCCAGCTTATTCCTCTCCTTAATGCATCTTGCTGCTCCCTGCTGCCTATTGCTGTGTGACCCACACAGTCCTTTGTCCTCTGGCCCAGCCTGCCTCTCCACAGTCACCTCCCACCCCTTCCTTTACACTCCTGTTCTGCCGTATGCAGCCTCCTCAGCTCCCCCCCCCCCCCCACCTAGGCCCTTCAAGGCCCCATGCTTTTCATCTTACTGTCCCATCTTTCCTGCCAGCAAACTCCTACTCATTCCTCAAGACTCACTACAGAGATGCCCTCTGACGTACAGCCCACCTGCTCTGTCTCCCCAGTTCCAGTTCCCCAGTATCTTGATGCATAATGTTTATCAGGGGAGATGATACTTTATCTGTGCACCTCCTGGAAGCAGAGACTCTATTATAATAAGTATGTTTAATAGCATATTCCATCGTAGCGTGCGAGCTGTATAAAAAGATTGCCTGAAGACAGCTCTGAATTTACCTTCACCGAGTCCCCAGCAACATCTCCCTCAGGTCTCCAGCTTTGCTAGAGAGAAACCACATAGCTGGTCTCACTTTGTTTTAAATGCTTGAGCCCAGATGTAAAATGGCTTGCAACACTTCTAGTCGTCTCACTCGACTTCCTCATAGGGTTATTCCACCCTGTCCTATCTTTTCAAGCCCCTTCTACTTCCCCTAGCACTCTCCCCCTCACCCATTGCATTCGGGACTCACTGCCTTTGCTTCTGCTTCTCAAACAGGCCAGCCAGATCCTGCCTTAGACACTGCATCGTTGTCCTTGTGCTTGGAATACCTTCTCCCTCTCAGAAAAGAAAGATCTTTCCTTCCCCTTCCCTCAGCCCCCACCTTGCTTGCTATTGTCCAGTGTAAACCTCTTCCTAATCGGATAGTATCTGCTTCTTGATGTTTGTTGTTTTTGCTTTTTATTTATCTCCTCTAACCAGAGGGTGAGCTCCATGGACCAGGGACCCCTCAGGAGAGAAAAGTCATATTCCTGCTCAGCTGGCTAACTAGCTTTGGAACATTTTATGCAAGTTGTTTGGGCTCTGCAAGCCTGTGTTTTCAGCAGTATACTGAGCAGGATAATATCTCTATGACCTTTCTCTTTACAACACGATGAAGTAATAGTGGGGAAGAATATTCAAAAAGTTAAGTAGATGATGGGTGCTTACTATGTTCATTTATTATTGTTGTTTATACTTTTTAAAAATATATATTTTATTGATTTTTTTACAGAGAGGAGGAGAGAGGGATAGAGAGTTAGAAATATCAATGAGAGAGAATCATCGATCAGCTGCCTCTTGCACACCCCCTACTGGGGATGTGCCCTTAACCAAGGTACATGCCCTTGACCGGAATCGAACCTGGAACCTTTCAGTCCGCAGGCTGATGCTCTATCCACTGAATCAAACTGGTTTTGGCTGTTGTTTATACTTTTTACTAAGTATACTTTTTACAAAATATACATAGGATTTGATTTGATATCCCAACTATACATTTCAACAGAATATTAATGAAGAAACAAAACACTTTATGAAAATTGATGGAGTCAATGGAATAGAGGATAAAAATTAGAGAAACAATCTGAAGCCACCTTGAAGAAAAAGTACATTTTAAAATTCAGACCTAACATGAAAAATTACCCACCTTATATCCCCACTCAAAAATCATTTTATAGATATAAACATCAGTAGGGGAAAAGGCAAGAAAATACCACGGATGGAAAAAACCAAAACGGAAACTAGAGTGATCCATATTACATCTCTTGGTTATCTCCAAATATGGGCACTTGTCACCTAAGGTGTGTTCGTCTCCCAGTGTGCGCTGTGCGGGTCCTGCAGTAATTGATAAGTGTCTCAACTTGTTAGAAGTACGGGGAGACAGGGATTCAAGTTTCCCCTTAACGGTCACTGGTGCTTAGTTTAAAATAAAGAAAATCAAATACAGAAGGTGAGACAATAAAATCAAAAGCTTTGGAAGATTTTCCCCTTCTCTCTCCATGGGAAAAGGCAGGCAAGTCCATGAGAATTTGTGATGTGGCTTTGAATGCCTGAGTTTCCCTGAGCGCTGAGAGCAAACGAATGAGCACAGATTCTGAGGAGACACACTGGCCCCCTCACCAGAGTGCCTTTCCCCTTGTCTGCATATTGTTTTTCCCCAAAAGAGGGAATTCTTTGGCACCCGTCAGGTTGTGCTGACTATCTCAAGCAAAGCTTTATTTCCTGTGTGGTTAAAAACATTCCCGTAAGCAGAGACGTGTGGGGAATGACAACATGACCTGGATTCTTGACACTTGGAGAATGTATGGAAAGTGAAAGCGGCTGAACTAAGAGAAGGAGAGGTTTCCCGGAGTTTATATCCAAATCAATCTTTACGGCAATAGCGGCTCTACTTCACCCAGTCGCTTATGAAGCATTTTAACACTTTTCTGGCTACACAGGCCAAACACAGCTGCTTTGTGAATTTAATTTGAGAGGAAGATGGAAAAGCTCTATAGAGCCTGGCAAGGTAAAAATTGGTTTACTTAGAAAACACAGATAAATATCACTGTAAGACTGAAAACAGCAAAAACGATCTGTTTTCCTCCAGGGGTATTGTCTCCCTTGCCGATCTTTCCAATCCCCAAGTGCTGGTTGTTTTCTTTATTGAGAGTAAGTGTCCAGGTCCAAGTGCTGACGTGTTCAGAGGAAACATTTTAGGGAGGAGGACGGAGGACTCAGGGGCCTGTATTTGCCACATTGAAGGAGGCATCCCCGCTCGGAGCCCCTGAGCACCTTGTAACGAAGAAAGAGATGATTAAGGCTAACCAAGTCCATCGCTGCTTAGATTAGAAATGTGTCTTGGCTTTGAAAATGCCTTTGACTTTCAGGCTATATCTAATTCACATGTATTTGTTTATTTTGTCAGAGGGGCCAAGGTGGAAAAGAAAGATACTTTTATATTTGGAATTAGAACCATACATGCTATAACCTACTGCAGAGAGATCTTTGTGTTTTTAATCATTTTATTTCAAACAATATTGGAGGACAACATCAGTTTTAGTAACTCCATGTCATTTCCATTTATTTTCCTTCCTAAGTGAGTTGAGTTGTGCTAAATTTGGGCATCTACCAGGTTTATGCTACCTAACACAATAGATTATGAAGTGACCTTTTTAAAAATATATATATTTTATTGATTTTTTACAGAGAGGAAGGGAGAGAGATAGAGAGATAGAAACATCGATGAGAGAGAAACATCGACCAGCTGTCTCTTGCATACCCCCTACCGGGTATATGCCCGCAACCAACAAGCCCCTGATCAGAATCGAACCCGGGAATCTTTCAGTCCACAGACCGACGCTCTACCAAAAGTGAAGGGTTTTAAATAGTGGTTCACGCTTCTGTCCCAAACCGGTTTCGGCTGAAATGACCTTTTAAGTGAAGTTCCTCTTGCCTTAGAATAAGCAGCCCTCGTGCCCCCACCCCCATCCCCACCCACTACCACCACACATACACACAGTGTAACACGTGCACATGGACCATCTGGGTACCTTGAACGCTATTATTCTAAATTCACACCATTCTTATACATCAGAACCTAGCACTGGGTGACAGGCCACTCTCATTTCCCCATACCTCACCACACTGTAACATTAAAGAAACGAACACTAGAATTACTGTGGTTTGGGATCACTTCTCAAAAACAACAGCAGCATAATTTTTAACTTTCTTTTTTTTTAAATATATATTTTATTGATTTTTTTTTTTTTTTTTTTACAAAGAGGAAGAGAGGGATAGAGAGCTAGAAACATCGATGAGAGAGAAACATTGACCAGTTGCCTCTTGCACACCCCCTACTGGGGATGTGCCCCCAACCAATGTACATGCCCTTGACCAGAATCAAACCTGGGACCTTTCAGTCCGCAGACCGACGCTCTATCCACTGAGCCAAACCAGTTTCGGCACAACAGCATAATTTTTATAAATTCAACTATAAATTTAATTACAACATCTACTTTTTTAAAAACTTGACCACTATTTATATTTATATGACACTCTTTTCCCTTCATCACACCCCACCCGAGCTTCCTCTCTCTGCCTTGTGCCCAAGGTCAGCTCTCTGCCAGGACTCCATTTACTAATACTGATTTCACTCGCTGAGTCCGGGAGAACAGACACGGTTTATTGAACAGCCATTTGCTCAAAGGTTTGTTCTGAGAGCGGTTTGTTTTGTTCCTGAGTACCTGTGAAGGTATGCCCCCTGGCAAATTAAGCCTTTTTAGTGGCAGCAGAGGATGGCAGAACCCCATCAGCCTTGTCAGGAGAAGTCCCCTGACCTCATTATTGCTAATGGATCATGGTAATTCAGCCTGTTGTGAAGTCTCATGTTCAATTATGCAGGATAATGAGTGACTCAAAACGTAATATGTCTCAACTGGGGTCCCTATTATAGGGCTTGTTCAGCTTCTTTCAAAAGTGAAGGGTTTTAAATAGTGGTTCACGCTTCTGTCCCAATGAAAATTATCACAAATATTCAGACTGTCCCGATTTTAAATATCTGATATGGTTCTAAAATATGAGAGGATTGCTCTATAACTTTCCATTTCACTGACCCTTTTTGTAGGAAAGTTAGGACAGGTTTACTCATTGTTAAGTGTTAATTCTGGAATTCTGAAAGCATGCAAATGGCATTTGTCTTTGGCTTCACAAAAACTCCAGATATTCAGAGTTTGAATTATTTAAGCTCCCACAACACATGCACTTTTGCTTTTCAAGCATGAGTTATAATTTAATTAAAAACTTCTGGTGCATTGCTAACATTTTAAATATTAATATGTTCCATGGATCACTTTCTATTATCTGCTGTCTTGAAATTCTTGAAGATGTCAGATTTTTAAGATTCCCAAAGTCGCACTCCAAATTGTCTGTTGAGGCAAAGGGGACTGTGATAATTACACACATCCATTAGGATGAACAGAGGAGATAAACTTTGGGGAGGCTTAATGGGCATGTCTCGATGACAGCTAGCAAAGAGCATTTGGCGTGATAAAGGATGGGTTTGAACGCACTTGGAAACAGACTCTTATTATGGACACCAGTGGAAGCTGCACCACAAATGTTAAGTTCCCCAGAAGAAGAGTGGGTGGCAGGCATGTTTTGAAATTCACTCTGGCCATCGTCCAAACTGCCCTCTTTCCTTTCAGTCTTCCCGCTGTCAGAATCACTTTGAGATGCCGCACCCCACTCCCTGCATCTCTGAAAAGACCCCACCTGTTGATCTCTGTGTTTCAGATCGTCCGAAGGTACATCAAGGACTGGCTTGAAAGAACGAAGCCTCCTTTCGGTGCTATCAGCAGCAGTGTGCTCCTCATGATCATCTACACCACCTTCTGCGGCACGTTCTCCAACCCCAACATTGACCTGGATAAGTTCAGCCTGGTGGTCATACTGTTCATAAGTAAGTGGGAGGCAGGAGACCTTTGCTGTCCCTTCAATAGCAGAGCATAGCATGTGTGTTCCCTACATTCGTTTTAATGTTAATTTGATTAGAAAAGAATACTTAGTTTCATACTCTATGGGCTCAGTGACTTTACCAAGTGTATCTGTTTTTTACAAAGTAATAATACGCATATGACTTATTCTCTTATGTCCTTTTATATCTGATTTGCAAGGGTTGATGCCAGGTGAAAGAAGTCATAATATCTGTCCAATTCAAATGTTAAGATGAGCACTTTTTGCCAATTTTATATTATTATAACTTGAGCTACTCTTATTCATTATCATAAATCAAAAATAGGATTTCTAACATATACTACTAGTACCCTGCACACGAATCTGTGCACCAGTAGGTCACTGCCGCCTTTCTGTAGCTCTCCCCCCACCACCCTCCTCTCCATCACCTCCTCATAGCTTGCTGCCCTGCCCCTCCTATAACTCTCAGCCGCCCTCTTGTAGTTCGCTGCCCCACCCTCCTGCAGGTCTGTGATCCCGGCATTACGCTGCTGGTTGTTACGCCTCACGGCATAACAGATAATTGTATATTTCTCTCTTTTTATATAGGATTATTTTATAACAGTCGGTTGAAATGTGAATATTTACATCATCTTCCTATTACAGTATACCCAAAGTAATATCATTTCATTATAAGAAGTGGCAGACTATAAAATAGTTACGTACTCTGCTCAAAAATTTATTTATGTGTTATCTATGGCTGCTTTCAATTAGAAGGTAGAACGGAATAGTTGCCATAGAGAGCATATGGCCCTCAAGCCTAAGGGTGTTTGTTTTGTTTTTTTTAAAGATTTTTATTGGTGTCAGAGAGGAGAGAGAGGGAGAGAGAGAGAAACATCAATGATGAGAGAGAATCATTGATCAGTTGCCTCCTGCTGCCCCACACTGGGGATGGAGCCTGCAAACAGGGAGATGAATCATGACATCCTGGTTCATTGATCGATGCTCAACCACTGAGCTATGCCAGTCGGGCCCTAAAGTATTTTTTATGTGGCCCTTTAAGTAAACTTTGCTGACTTCTGCTCCAAACTAGAGATGGCAGGAAAGGAGGGGGGGTCCCTTCTCTTTAACCACAGAAGACGCCAGTCTGGATTTAAAGGTCGTTTAATCCTGGCTGTTTTTTTACTTCTCAGCCTCTATCAAGGCACCAGCAGAGCTCAGGACAATATTTTAAAATGTAGTAAATAATTCAAACATGGACTGTTAACCAAAAAAGAAAAAGAAAAAATAAAAGAAATGAAAAGAAATCTTGTGTTCTATTTATCCTGTAATACCAAAGACGACTTTTGGTAATTGTAATATCAAAGAATCTTATGTTATTAAAAATCAAGACGAGTTATTCCAAAATATTTATTATGTCCTACCACACTTATGCTATGTGCTATAAATATTCATAGTATAAGCCAGTTGGCTCTAAACTGTACAAACTTAATAACCAAATCTTAAATCAAACAGGGTTTTAGATTTGCCGTGAGTAGTAGACCTCATAGATTGTATCTGGGGATATCTTCAATAAGAACAGGTTGAATCCCACTAATTTAAATGATTGTATTAGTTCAGCAATTTATGCTTGTTTGTTTTTCTATTTGAATTCCCGTTAGTTTCAGATCAAACTAAGCATAGCAGTAAATATGCTACAGACACTGCTTTTATAGTGCTAATGTAGACTCACTCCTTTTTTCTCCCCAGTATTTTCTATTCAGCTGGGTTTTATGCTTCTCACCTTCATCTTTTCAACAAGGTAAGTGATTTGGTATTTTTTGTTGGTTGTGCTTTTCTAAATGAAGATGCATCCTCTTGACTTGACTTCTGTGCCACCATGCTGTTGCAGTTTTTCTCCTGCCCGCCTGGCTGTTCTTTTCCACCTTGCTCCTGCTGTCCCCCAGGGGAGACCTGAGGAAAGGACCTGCCGTGGCCCTTGTCCCCTCTGTTTACATCGTGTGCTTAGGAGCTCCTTTGTTCGACTGGTTCGAGCAGTGAGCTGATGAATGTAGAGCCCAGACCTGCCCTTTCATTGTCTGTCCTGAGTTCCAGCATGACTCACCCCTTACCGTTTAGATAACTTCACCCCATTGTCATCATAACAGCTCACACTCAAGATCTTCAGAATGGGCTCCATCTTTTCCTCCAACACTTTCTCTTCCTCTCTCATTTGTTTATTTAGTATTCATGGAACCGTCATCCACAGAGGTACTCAGGCTAAAACCCTTCACATCATTATTATTTTTTTAATCTCTTGATCCTACTTCAGGAATATTTTTTGTGCTTCCAAAGCCACTTCCCTCATGCAGGAGTTTTTACCTCTTCATGCCCTAGTCTATTGCAATGGAAATCTTACTGGTATTTTCACTTCCAGACCTGACTTCTCAGTGCATTTCATACTGTTTCAAATCACTCAGAGTTCTGACAGTAGTGCTCATGTTCCAAGAGTTTCATTGGTTATCCAGAGCCTGCAGAGTGAAGCTCACTTGGAGGGGAAGAGGGATAAGGCAAGGCCAGTCTCATGAACCACCACTGGCAATCTTGCTGCCAAAGCTTTAGGTTGAGGTAAAGGCTTCGTTGTCCCTTGAAAGAACCTCCTGCGTTCTCATGCCTTGCCTTTGCTAAGTCTGTCCCCGTATCAAAATTGGTCTCTATACCTTTGTCTTCCATCAGAAATTATGTAAGCCTTTGGTTTGAGAAAGTTACCATTGCAAATGCCAGAAATAAGAAAGACTTCTAATCCTGAGTGGGTTATAGGTTAGATATATGCATGGATAACTACCTGTCCTGGGTGGCACAGTAAGCCAGCCTTAGTCCATTCAAAGAATAAAGCACCTCCACAGACAGTAATAGAGTATGGCTTCCTGAAAGAGATAGGGTTTGATCTGGGTCATGAAGAATGGCTAGTTATTCAGCAAACAGAGAGCAGAGAGGGGGTTCTTAGTGAAAGAAGAAACAACAATGCAGATGTGGGGGGGACACACACACGCACCAAAGCACGCTGGGACAATAGGAGGAGAGGGGGTTTAAAAGTAATGCTATTTGGAAAGGTAAGCTTGGGACAGATTGCCAGCCCCTTGGATGCCAGGTGATGCAGTGAGTCGCCACAAGGGAGGGGGCTGAGCTGTTCATGAGGCCTGTTAGTGTCAGGGCAGCAGAGGGTTCAGACCTCGTGTTAGGCAGCTGGCCCATGGCACTCAGTACAGCAGGAGCTGATTGTAAACAGTCAATAAAGACTTCCTAATTTGTGTAACCTCAAGCATTCTTACCAAGCCTGTGTTGTGATTTATGAGTAACAGTAAAGCCTAGAGCCAATGAGTTACCAAGAAAACGTGACTCATTTAGGTAAGTCTGAGAGTTGGAGCTATTTTAAAAGTGGTTTTTTTGTTATTGTTTTGTTTTTTAAAAATGGCTTGTTAGTGCACCTCAGAAAAGGCAAGTGCCCTTCACTGGCTGTTTTGCTGGTCCTTGTGGCAGAGTGATCATCGGGCCACTCCACCTGTCCTATCAGACTAGGTAGGATGCCATGCCTGTGAGTGAGGGACTGACTGACAAATTCTTGAAAAACAAAGAATAGTCACTACTGGGGCTGCTGCAGGAGGACTGGTCACATCACAAATAGTTGAATGAAAACTGAGGATTTTCAGCCTGAAGCAGACTGGACTTTCATAAGGCCTGTGATTTCAAGACCTTCTGTTCTGCCTTGTTCTGCCTTGTTCTGCCTTCACTGAAGTTCTATTGGGTTTTGAATGTGCTTGGCCCGGTGTCAGGCATCACATTCTTTGATAAACAAGACCATGGAGTGACTGTAATTGTGTTCCTGGGTAATGGGTGTGTAGCCCCAAATATCCCATTAACATTTGGGGATTTGCAATTGGACAAGATTTAGGTGGTTTTCACTTTTTTAAAAAAAAATTTTCCCCCATGCTGAGAGCCTTACAATGCCTGGAGATTTTATTGGAGGAATGAAAATTACCAACATTTAGTGAACCTGCTCAGGGCCAGGCACTGTGCTAGGGATTGTGCATGGTTATTTCCTATAAGTCTGACAGCAAAGACTATGATCCTGGGCATTTTTGTTGCTGTTTTGCAGATGAGAGAGCCCACGCTTGGAGCAGTTTGGTTTAGTAACTTACCCAAAATCAGATGACAGATGGCACACCCAGCATTGAAATCCACTGCCATTGACATTTCCAAAAGCACTGGCCCATGCTTTTAATACTGCACTAAATAAACTACTTCAAGTTCTTTAAAAACTCATAACACTTCTTTTGGTTAGGGAATTTTTAGAGAATGTTTAACTGAATTCTTCAGGTTTACACAGAAACACACACAAATTAATCAAAACACCAAAAATTGGAACTAATACCCATTGGGTTATATGCTGTTGAATTTAATTTTCTTTCCCCACTTTTTTGTTCCTTTCTACTTAAAACGGGGGAAAGTGGCCTGTGGGATTTTTTTTTTTTTAATCAATTCAGTACATCTCAAACCAATCCAGTTATTCAGATACAAAAGTCTCAGCATGGAAAGCAGACTTTTTATATAGCATGTCACTGACCTCTGAGGATGGAAGTTTAGCTTACATCTGGAGAGACCCACCTAGAAAATCCAACTTCCCTGCAATATTCTGCTCTCTGATTTATGCCGCTTAGCCTAATGGACATGGCATGTGAGCCTCCTTTGCTCCAAGTATTTAAAATATACTTGAGAGTATGAGTGTGTTCCCACCTCTCTGTCTATAGAATAGTGTTCAGGTTATAAATTCAACTCCAGAGCCACACAGACCTGAGTTTCAATCCTGTGTAATAACTGTAACTTTTGTCAATTTCCCCAATTATAAAAAGGAGATAGTAGTACTATTTCATTAGGGCATTTGGAGAATTGAATAATGTGCACACAAAGCCCTCAGCATAACACCTAGCATATAGTAAGTGTTCATTAAATGTTAGCTACTACAGAATACTTATTATACCAAAATAATATTTATTATACCAAAATAACATATTATTTTAAGAACTAATGATGGAAGAGAGGGAATTAGCATTTCTGGTTTTGTAGTACATTCTTTTGGATGCAAGAAAATGAGAGTTTATTCATCAACCCAAAACTCAGCTGTCCATGGTGACCTACACTTTCTACAACTTTGGAAAGCTGTCAAAGTTAAGGAATAAAATTGTTGAAAAGGCTTAGAAATATAAAGCAGTCATTGGGAGCCTTTTAAAAATATATAAAAGACAGTTTGATAAGCAGATAACAGGAATAGAAACCTAGAATGTCACTAGAGTGACAAAAGAAAGCATTAATAAGGGAGAAGGAAGAAAACAAATATTCAAATATTTGTGCAGGTCTTTTAATCTCTATCAGTACATTTTCAATCCCAGGTCTCCATGGGCCTCTCTCTATAGGGTGGGAGGGAGAGAGGAAGACAATCTTGTGGTTAATGATACGTCTCTTACCATTTCAGAGATGAGGCAGCGGAGCCACAGAGCTCTGGGCAACTCTTTATGCTGCTCAGCTAATGACAGAGGAGGTCACCTCCTAAAATGAGTGAAAACAAAGCACAGGTCCAGAGGTCAACAAAGGAAAGCATTTCACGTGGATGTTCCCTCTAACAGCACTCAGGCGGGACTCTCTGAGGAGCTTTTCTGCTCCACATTCTGTGATTCTCCTTGTAAAACCTCTGACATGTTTTCCTTTGTGGGGACTACAGAGGGAGGCAAACGAAATGCTGTGTGGGAAATGTGGATGGGAAGGAAAGGAAATAAACATCTCAAGGGAGGCCAGAGGGATCAAAAGAATTATAAAACCACAATAAAAAGAAAATATTAAAAAGACATAAGGTCGAATCAGAAAGTAAATAGTAATGTGATTCAAAAGTGTGAGCAGACGCAATAGAGATGCTACCCGCTGAAAGTCATTACCGTGTAAGTGCAGAGCACCGTATGGCTGAGGGAAGGTCACTTAACAAGAGGGCAGCTCTCACCCACTACATTGATGGTGGGTTTTTGTTTGGTTGGTTTTTCTTTGGTGAATTTTTTTTTTTTTTTTTAATTTTCTTCTCAGAGGTAAACTTACCTCCAAGACGTGGGGCAGCCTATTTTCTAGTTGTGTGACTTGCAGTTGTGTTTCGAGTTCCCTTTGTGGAAAAAGCCAGGCAATAATCCTAGCTACTTTAGGAGGCTGTTCAGAGAAGAAGTCCAGGCAGCGAAGTGCTTAGAAAACAGTCAGCATTTCCTGCTGTGGTTACCCATCAGCATCAGCAACATTGTGAGCGACCGCTCTGTTGGTTTTCCCCAAGGTCCGAAATGTGAAGTGGTCTGTTACTTTCTAAATAGGTAAAGGCCAGCCCTGTTTAAGGGGAATATTGTTTCTAACCTTAAACAAAATATTCCACTTGTTACTGATCCTCCCTCCCGACTGCAGATTGTGTCAACAGAGCCACAGGCCAGTTTCGCCTAAATCAGGCCTGTCACTGCCCAGTGTGGGCCCGGCTGCGATGCTTCCTGGAGCAGGGGCGTTAGCACGTCCCTGCAGACATCCTCCTTAGCCACTGTGCACGCTGCTCTGGTCAGTGGCAGCCGCACCAGCTTAGGTCAGCGCCTTCTTGGCCAGAGAGATGTAGACATATTGGGAATGTGCTCTAATCTGGAAAGGAACAAATACTAAGCAAAGCCAAGTTCCCCAAAAAAGAGGGTACTGTCAGACTCTGGGAAGAAAACCCAACTGCGCGAATCCAGATGCAGCAACCACTGGATATAAACGAGGGAGCGAAGAACTAGAAGGAAAGGCCTCTGTAGGGTTGCAGCCCCAGACATTGCTGGGGCAGTCCACCTAGCCCCGCTGGCTACGCTGCATGGTCTGCAGTCAAGGTGGCATGCGTTCCCGCACAGTTGCCTGTACATTCTATTCCCAATCTGCCTACTTCAAGCTTTTCTAATTTTTTAGGTTCCCAGACCTCTGTGTTACCTCCAGTTCTCTATGGATGAGTGAAGTGCCTCACCCTTTACATAGAAAGTAAAATCTCTGATATAAATTGCCTCCATTTTCCGCTTCTTCCCCTGGATATTTTCTGTAGTTTTCACTCACCTTGTCTTCTCTGTTCCCAGCTCAGACCAGAGGAAACAGCCCCTCAGAGGCTAAAACCCTTGTCTCATCCTCTGGGGCTCTCTGAGGACCTGGCCTCACCCATTGTTTCTCCTGCTGCACCTTCCCTCTTTAGGTAATCACATTCCCATGATCCTCTTCTTCCCTTCACCACATTTCCTGGACACACTCTTCCCTCTCGCCACTTCCAATTCAGTGCACCTGGACATCAGCTCCTAGGCTCCTCCCAGACAGCACTGGGCCCTCCCATTCCCCCCTTCCCACAATGCCTTCATGCCTTTCTCAGTCCTGCATGCTGAAAGCTTCTCATTTCTTTGATCCTTCCTCCTTTGACAAAGCAACAGTGAAAGTAAAATAACTAGCATGTACTAAACATTTGCAGCATGCCAGATTCTAAGCAAACATTGGCCTTTATCCTGACAAGGGCCCTCAGAGGCAGGCACTATCATCCCCATTTTATGTCCAAGCAGAGGGTGGTCTGAGTTTAGCTTCTGGTGCATTTGCCCCAAAAGGCTGTGCTCTTAAGCTCTTGGGAGGCAACATTTATTTCACAGAGGCCAACACTTGACAAGTTCTCTTAATTCTGTCTTCATGTCTCGTCCCACCACCTCCTGCCCCCGCTGTGGTTCTTCCTGCGTCCCCTCGTCATCTTCAGTCTCACACTGCGCTGTGTGATTACTCCTCTTCCTCCTCCTGGCCCCACTTATCAAGGCCACACTCCCGATCACAAGCCAGTGTCCCCGCGCACAGTCAGCCCGGAGAGCCTGCACATGTCTCTGCCTGTTCTAAAGGCCAGCCTTCTAGCTGTTTCCTTTAGGAGGGTTCTTCGTGCTCCATCACCACCCACTCCCCTGCCCAGCTTGAGAGAATCCTGGCCCCAGGATTCAAATCACCCCTCCCTCTTGTTCTTTCTCTTTTATGGAGTACATACCTGTCTTCCTTTCCCATTCGGCCTCCATGATGAATGAGGGGATCAAGGACTATGTCAGCCACGTAGTACAATATCTACAGAATAAGAGCAGGCCCTAACCAATGGATAGAGTGTCAGTCCACAGAAGGAAGGGTCCTGGGTTCAATTCTGGTCAAGGGCATGTACCTCAGTTGCAGTCTCAATCCCTGGCACTGGTTGGGTAGGGAGGGGAGCCAAGCATGCAGGAGGCAACCAATCCATATGTCTCTCACATCAATGTTTCTCTCTGTCTCTCCCCCTCCTTTACACTCTCTCTTAAAAGTCAATGGAAAAATATCCTCAGGTGAGAATTAACACACACACACACACACAAAAAAAAATTAAAAATAAATAATAAGAATGGTATCATAATATAAATGTGAGAATGAAATGTGGGAATGGCAAGGCAATCTTATTATACTCAAGCGACATAAATCCATGGAAGATTTTCAGCCGAGGGGGGACACCAAAAATGCAGTTTGGAAAGTTGTTATCAGAAAAAGAGCTGGAGTAAGACCGTTTAGGAAGCATGAGCACATGGGACGTTTCAGAGGTGATTAGACCGAAGGGTAGTTAAATGCTGTCAACCTGGTAACAGGACAGGGATGATGTGCAGGAGACAGCCCTTCCCCCTCTATCCTGTTTTTTCACAGAGAAAACAGGATGCGGGGACTTGTTTAGGGAAGACTGCTCTCCCAATGGAAGTCATATGTGAGGCTGAGGTTACTGAAGGAAATGGTCTCTCTTTTGGGGGAGATCCTTAAAAACCGGATAGGGTGCTCTACATCTGCAGCTGCATGCATGCCACCGGGTCTAGCGCATCTTTCCATTTGCTGACTCTTGTCTGGGTCCAGGACAGGGGATAAACGGACTCACGGTGGCTTCACACCCTCATTCTTCAGGAAGGAATCGTCCCTAACATGTCAAGGACACAATGATAATAATGACATTTCTAGCCTTTGTCCTGGTCTCTAAATTTTTATAATCTGAAACAGGAAATCTGAATATGATATTCATCAGTACTAACCCCCATATCACCCAATGGCTTTTGGCTAAGTGAGGGTTTTTCATGCTTAACACTCTTATATAGCAATAGTAGGACATAGCAGTTAAGAGCATAGGCACAGGAGCCAGACTTAAGTTAAATCCTGGCTCTGTCACACCCCGGCTATGGGGTGCTGGGCCCCATGTGCCTGCTCTGACTCGGTTTTCTCCACTGTGAGCAGGGATGGATTGATCTGTTTATATGCAGAGGCCTGAGAGGAGGCTTGCACTCCTAAAAAATGATAATGTTTTACTAAAACCTGTGATATTGAGTCTTTGTTCATACCACGCGTTTCTCAAAGGACATGTTGTTCATTGAGTGAGCAGTTTAGCAGACACAGTGACTCTGTCAAGCAGCAGGTTGCTATCGGGTGATAGCCTAGGCACTTAGCCAGCACTGCCTCCAACGACTTTCCTGGAGTCCTGCGCCACCAGCTGATCACATATGTGATCTTAGGAGACCGCCACCCGTTTTAAAACCGTCTCCCTTCCAAGGAGAAGTGACTCAGAAATGATTCTCTGTAAAGATATTCAGACATTTGGGTATAGAATTGCTTCTGTCTCCAGGATTGGTTAAAGGGATGTAACACAAGGGTGGGTACTGTGTTTGATTTAGTATATGTTAAATAGGTTTTTAATGAAAGTGTTTGTAAAGCACTGTTTTCTCTTGCCCCTAGGAATAATTCGGGTTTCACACCAGCAGACACTGTGGCTATCATTTTCTGTTCTACACACAAATCCCTCACTTTGGGTAAGTGATTCTCACAACTTCAGATAGTTACATATTATGAGTGTGAGATTCAAACAGTGCTTCAGATTAAATGGAATGGCATATCGTCCACTCGGTTAAAGGACAATAGCAAAATGAGAATGGGCCATTGCTTTGAAATACCAGTATATGATTGAACCAATTTTGGAGGGCCTAAGTTTAAAAATGTAGGATCTAGCTTAATTTGTAAGATGTTTGATTCTCATAAAAGGTTTTCAATGTGGAATGTTAATGTTAAAAGCTGGGGATGGGGGTGCACAATGGGCAAAAACTCAGCTTTGAAAGGCTCTAGAGTTGCCCCTGGAAAATATTAACTTATTTTCTGGAAGCTTGGGGCAAGGTGGAAATAACATTATTTCTCTAATTGGATATTGACCTTGATTTGAAGTTCATTTCAGAATGTTATGTTGTGTCGATTAAGAAACACATTATCATTATTATTAACTCAATCTGATTAGCATCTAAAGTGAAATAAGTATTTATTTAATGGTCAAAAATAGATCAAGAAGGAAAAATACTGTTCTCTACTTAGCTTTATCCAGTTTAGTGGCATTATCCCAATAACATGTGTAGGTATCCAGAATCCATGTTTCTAGTCATTAAAAGTCATTAAGTAATCAGGACTTCATTGAAATATACATCACTCATAAACTCTTTGAGCTAATAGGCACATTCTGGCAAAAACTCGTAGGAAAACTACTTTTCATTTTGGCTTGTGGCTCACTGAAGAGAAGGAAGAATCATGACATGCTGTGAGTCTGTCTGTTCATGTTCAAGTTCAGTCTGAACCTAGAAAACAAAGACAATTCATAATGTTTTTGCTTACCACCCCCCTCATATTTGTCTGACCCTCTTGCCAAGTTTTGAAAGTGATTTAGAAATTGGACAAACTTTTTGAGGAGCAGTTGCTATCTAGGGATTCAGCTAATTTTAAATATACTGTTCATACATTGTAGCATGGTTGGTTGGTTTTCTTTATAATCAAGTTCAAAGTGAAGTTGAAAGACCTTTGAAAGCCACATTCCAGTCCTGATTTTGTGATTCTAGACAAATCACTTAAACTCCTGAACCTCAGCTTTCTCATCTGTAAAATGGGGTGGTATAATACTTTGTAAGGCAGTTGTAAAGATCAAAATTAAATTTGTTCAATAGCTAGCACAGTGCTTATATGTAACGGGTAGTCAGTTCATGCCAGAATGTATGTAAATTGCTATGGGTTAAATGAGCTGGCCCAGAAGAGTTAGTGTGCTGCCTGGCACCTAGCAGGTACTCTCAACTGTATTACGAGTTAGTAGTTACTTTTACCTGTATTAGTTATGACTGTGTCACCATTCCCAGTCGGTCTTGTAGATTTTCATGTAACAGGTATGGTTTAATTGTTGACCTCAACGAAATCATCTGACAGTCTTCTCCCTGTGTGGTTATTGTGATGCGATGTCTGGATTTCCCGGTCTCCTAAAAAGGGTTGTTATAAAGGTGGGGAGTCCAGAGGTGGGTGCCCACAAATGTCTCAGATGTCCCAACACGGGGTCTCCTGAGCCTGTGTCCCTCGAACAGATGCTGAGCCACGGCATTTCTGCAGGCCCGCCCCTCCCAATGGGGCATTGTTTGGTTTCTGCATGTTCTCTGTGCTGGAGTTGGCTGTGTTGAAGGATGAACTCTTCCCCCCAAAGCACACAATTAGCCTCCTCTTCTTCTCTTTAAGCAAAACTCCTCTTCCCTCTTCCTTTCTGACTCTCCTTTCCATAATCCCAGGGCCATACTCTCTATTCTTGATGCTTTCTGAAAGCGAATTTTCAGACAAACAGGTAGGTGCTCTGCACACCAATCAGATGTAGCTGTTTGTTGAAAAAGGTTGGGGGAACTTGGACTTGTTTGTTTTTGCAGTGTCCTCTCCTGAAACAGGTACGTAGATTCTCCAATACAAAACTAGTGTAGTTACCTACGTAACCATGGAGTGTAAATCCTTAGTTACTTCTGTAACACGACAGACTCGATCTCTCTTGGAACTATAAAACCCAAGTACTTATCCTGACTCTTCCTCTGGTACCTCCCAGGCCTGTTTTCTTAGCTCTCACATCAGAGACTTTAGTTCCAACTCGGCTATGTTATCGTGCCTTGATCACACCTGGCTAGCATTTATAAAAATGGCCTCTTTGCCGCTTCCCTTGTCTCAAGAGCCTCCTTCTTTTCCCATATAGCAAAGGGGCGTTTGGAGCCTATTGCTAGAATGGCTTTGCTACACCCTATAAACTTACTGTGTCTGTTTTCACAAGATCAAGTACATGTTCCCCTCTCCTGGTGACCGACGTCACTGGTACAGAGGATGCATCACAACAGTGGCCCGATGCAACTTCTATCTGCAAGGACATGAAAGAACATCACAATAAGAGCGAGCAATTCATATTTCAGAACAAAGGAGGAAACTTCAGGTAATTTCACTTGGAGCTATACCTTCACCTCACACACACAGCTGAAATACAGCAGATTATATCTACTTGGTATTTAGAATATATACCCATACCTTTGGCAGTCACTATCATAGTATTCTCCAAGTGGTTTTATACATACACACCCCCCCACACACATTCAGCATCTCAAATAGAATGCTTATGAATACTATTCATTATTACATGAATGGTATTCATGAATGGTATTCATAAGCATCCAGTTTTCGTATTTATGAATCAATCATTGCAGTCCAGGTGGTACCCATGTAACTACAGAACCAAAGGTGAAAACTTTGTGTGAGAAGCCTTCTGAATGCTGTCTTGTATGTACAACTCTCGATTTATTTTATTTGTTCTTGCTCTTGCCCTGTCTCGATCTCCTCCATGTGCTCGCACCTACACGCATGCTGAGTTTGATTCATTGCTTTTATTAGTGCATTTGCCATTGATTGATTAGTTCTTCGTATTAGTACTTTTTCTATTGATTGATTGCAGATGAAGTGACTATTTGACCTTTAATTATGAGGCTTCCTATTGAAAATGACATTGAGCTATGGCTTCACGTAATCCATCTGGAAAGCCTGACATGATGCCATTCCCCGGAGTTCGTTGAGGAAGCACGAGGAGGCTCCGGAGGAAGTGCAGACTATCAGGGGCTCCATCAGAAACAATCCCACCGGCTTGTCCGTGTGCTCCCATGGTTTCAGCTCAGGGCCGAGATAATCTTACATTCTGTCAGGAGCATCCCTTGCTGTGGGCTGCCCTAAAGGCCATGGACTCTCCCAGAGCCTCTGCAGCTTGACGCCGATGTTTGTACAGAAACCCAGAGCTGTTTCACACGCAGAGACCGAGAGCAGCTAGTGCCCTCGTTAACACGGCTGCGCGCACAGTGGGTCAACAGACCGCATCAAGAAAGAAATTCGATCCCAGGTGCCCTGTGAAATTAGTGTTTTGTCTTTTCTCTTGAGTATTCAAGCCACTTTTGTTATCTAGAGTTCTAATAGATGTAGGAAACTTCCTCGCCGTACCTGGAAAGAGAACGTTTCAGGGTGTTTGAGATCCTTCAGAGAAGTGTATGTTTGTATTCGTTTTCAATGTTTTTAAATGGCAAAATGAATGCATATACTCTGAGAACATGTCAACTGACAATTGGCAGTCCGGTGTGAGGTTCTCCTGTTTGTTTCTTATTTTCAAAAGCATATCTCAGTGGCAAGAATGCTATGTAAGTGTTGAGTGTCATGATCAACACTTACTGCAAGTCCAGTATGTGCCTCACCATCTATAGACTCTCTGTACAAAGGCGAATCAAGCAGCTCTTCCTCCCTCATTTATACCCATCGTGAGTCTAGCTGAGCTGTGACCAGAAACAATGCAGTAAGCAAAAAGAATATAGCTTTTCTGAAGACATCCACTTTTGGAAAGAGTAGAAAGAACCACAGACCTGAGTCTAGCCAGGATTCAAGTTCCAGTTCTTTCACCAGCAGCTGGACCACATCCCTAAACTGCTGTGGCCTCGGTTTCCTCGCCTGTGAAATGAGCAGGTGGCCATGAGCTTGAGGTTCCTGCCAGCTTCAGGTGTCTGCACCTGCACGCATCAGCGGATGTCTCTGTTCTGTAGGACAGCAGTCCTCCTGCTCTATGTGAAAGGAAACAAGTACTTAAGAGGAAGGGTTCTGTGAGTGATGTTACAGTATTTCAGGAAAGGAAATCCGGCTGTCGCTTCTTCCTGAAGATGAGAAAATACCATAATACTCTGCAGAGAAACAAAATTTAAAACAGTTCTTTAAAAAAAAAAAAAAATATATATATATATATATATATATATATATATTTCAGAGAGGAAGAGAGTGGGAGAAATAGATATAGCAGTGATGAGAGAGAATCATTGAGTAGCTGTGTTCTGCATGCCCCCTACTGGTTATAAGATGGGGATCCAGCCAGTAACCCAGGCAAGTGCCCTGTCTGGGAATAGAACCATGACCTCCTGGTTCATAGGTCAACACAACACTGAGCCACACCGGCCAGGCTGAAATGGTTCTTGTTTTCAGTTTTACTTGGAAGCTTTTCAAGAAGATTAAACAATTCCCTGCAACTTGGGTTGAGAGGATCGTTTAATAGCATCTAGGTTATTTTCTCAAGTGGAAATGGAATTGAAACACCAAAGTTTGCCTTTCTTTTTTCTTTCCCCTTAAAGCTTATCTGTGATTCCACTTGGCACATGAAGATTATTATCTTAATAAAACTACCCTTCCTACAATTGGGAAGCACTTTTTTAAAGCACTTCACTCATCATGTCATGGTACCTGAACAAGGCAGGATATTAGCAAGTCAGCAATTATTGACCTGTTTTGCATACACAGAAATGTAAGCATAGAAAGAAACTTAAGAACTTATCCCAGATCTTGTTAGAGACTGGAGTCTGGGTTTCCGGACTTCCCATACCGATTGGATGATAGGGTACAAAAGGGCTTAGAAGGCCAAAGAGTGCTGAGTTACTCCAGCCGTTGTAACTGTGAGCTCAGCTTGGTTTGG